AGTTGGGGTTTAGTCCAAATCTGCATCCTTTCCTTCAAGGCTCAGGGGTCCAAGATTATCTTCTGTGTCTGTGTCAATTGGTTTCCCTTTTCTTTGTTGAAGAGGGTCTGTGCAATCCTTCTGCCTAGTCCGCCATCTTGCCCCGCCTCCTCCATTCTCACTTTTAAGAAACATCTGGATGCAGTGATTTTTTTTGTGCTTTTGACCCCATGTACAACAGAACGAAACACTGTCCAGTCCTAGGCCATCCCTGTGTTTGTTGTGGATTGTAGTGTTGTGATTCATTGAGCTTTCATTGGCTGGTTTTTTGGAGGTAGGTCTTCAGCCCTTTCTTCCTCCTCTGGACACTTCACTGAAACCTGTTCAGCATCCTGACAACACACAAGCTTCCAGGATGGTGGCTGCACATGGAGTGCATTTGCTAGGAATCAAAGCTGGGTCTCTTGCATGGAAGGCAAGGATTCTACCACTGAGTCACTAATGCCCACTCCCACTCCCACTCCCACTCCCACTTCCACTCCCACTCCCACTTCCCCATCTCCACACTGATCTTACACACTGTTTATTGGGTTGAGAACTTTGCTCCACAGAAATCATGTGTTAAAAATTACCTGTAGAACAGGAAAAGTGTGGTGCTCACTGTTGCAAAATTCTCATTTCTCTCGGGTGAGAAGGAACTCTGCTGGTAAAGTGGTTAAGATATTCTGCTGTTAACCAAAAATTTGGTGGTTCAAACCCATCAGCTACTTCATGGGAGCAAGATGAGGCAGTCTGTTTCTGTAAAAATTTACAGCCTTGGAAACCCTAAAGAGCAGTACTACTGTATCCTAAAGGGTCACTATGAGTCAGAACTGACTCGAGGGCAAGGAGCTTTTAGTTTTCAGGGGTGAGAACTATTAGGAAAACAAAGCTGCTGCTTAGTGGACAGCTGCCTATCCCCAGCGGAGATGCTTATCTTTAATATTTAGAGCTGACAATAAGTATCTAAGTCTCCATAGAACTGCTACTCCATGATATGTAATGTACAAAGTCAGATGCATGTAAATTTTATTTTGATTAGAAAACACAACATCAAATTGCTAATAAAAGCTCCTGTCTTTTATTGGTCTCCACACTAGCATAAAACTTATTTTAAACAAAACTTTTCTGTTGGCTTTCTTTCTCTGATTCATGTATTCTTTTTCTGTTTCAAAATAGAAGAAATCCATACCATTTCATTTTTAATAAAGCTTTTGCAGGGGTATTAAAGAAGTGTTTGTATACAATAAAATGCTTTATAAAGTAACTGTGTATTTTATAGTTTAATAATGATTACTAATAATTACCATTTACCATGGTTATTACATATATTTCTTAGCTAAGTTACCTTGCCAGTGCAACCTTTCTATCAAAGATATAATAATCCTTTCTCTAAGATGTTAAATGATCTATAAACCAAAAAACCAAACTCATTGCCATAGAGTCAGATCCGATTCATAGCGACCCTTCCTTGGGTTTCCGAGGCAGTATCACTACGGAAGTAGATTGCCCAAACTTCCTTTCAGGATAATTAGAACTTGTATTGCATATGCTTGTATTACATAGAAGATGTTTTCTGGTTATCACTCCTCAAATATTTGAAAAAACATGGAATTTCTCTTTTCAATATATATATATATATATATATATATATATATAGTAATTTCCTCCAAATAAGCATAAAAATATCATTGACTTAAATAGTAGGTATTTTACCTGTAAAAAGGGCTTGAAACCCCTCTTCTGAAGACCTTCATTAAGTTTACTGGATTTCAAGTCAGAGAAAATTGTGTTGAATTCCTTGAATTATCCATTACTATTTTAGGTAGGCCATTTAGCCCCTCTGAGACTCTTCAGTAAACCAGAGCTGGTAATAACACCTGCTTATCTGATTGAGTTGCTTTCAGATCCATTAGCTCATAATTAGAGGAGCACTGTGAGATCTGTAATATATATAAAGTTTAGGTGACACTCTCCAGGAGTAAACTAGTTACCTGAGCATACGCAGAAAATTGCCTCTAAGTAGTCATTGATTTTACTCCCAGATGAACTAAGCATGCCCAGGATTCAGGGGTCATTCTCTCATGTATGGTGGTTGTCTTGTTATCTAGTACTGCTGGAACAGAAATACCCCAGGTAAGTGGCTTTAACAAACAGAAAGTTATTTTCTCAGTCAGGAGGCTAGAAGTCCTAATTCAAGGTGTTAGTGCTCATGGAACGTTTTCTCTCTCTGTTGGCTCTGGAGGAAAATCTTTGTCTCTTTGGAGCTTCTTCCTTGGCAATTTTCACGTGGCTCAGCATCTACCTTTTCCCCATTTCTGCCTGCTTATTTGAGCTTAATCTGCTCTTTTATATTTCAAAAGAGAGTAAGACACATTCTACACTAATAACCAAACCAAACCCACTGCCGTTGACTTGATTCTGACTCAAGGGACCCCATAGGACAGAGTAGGACTACTCCAAAGTGTTTACAAGGCTATAAATCTTTATGGAAGCAGACTGCCTCATCCTTCTCCCACGGAGCAGCTGGTGGGTTCAAACCACTGACTTTGGGCTAGCAACCTAGTGCTTTAGCCACTAAGCCACCAGAACTCCTTCCCTACATTAATACTGCCTCATAAACATAACAAAGAAAACTGCCGCCTAAATGGAATTATAACCACAGGTATAAATCCAAACTCCAAACTCACTGCCATCATGTTGGATCCTCCTTGGGTTTCTGAGGTGGTATCACTACAGAACTAGATCATCTAATCTTCCTTCTGAGGAGTGGCTGGTAGGTTTGAACTGCCAGCCTTCTGGTTCACAGCCAAATGCCTTAGGCACTATGCCACCAGAGGTCCCAACCACAGGTATAGGGGTTAGGATTTACAACACATAGGTTTAGGAGGCACAATTCAATCCACAGCACTGATGAACAGTATTTCCTCAGGATTTGGGTGTTTTTTGGGGGGGGTTGTTTTTTATTATGATATTGAATAAGAGGCTGTTTCAAACCAAACCCATCATCGTTGAATTGATTTTGACTCAGCGATCCTCTATGTAGTTTCAGGAGAAAGAAAATAGACACATAGAATTGCTAAGAACCTACTCACTGTCAAATTCAGGTCTAGTCTTACCAAAAAATGTGAATAAACAAAAGAAAGCTAACATTGAAGTTTTGCTCATACCTAAAATACTGTATTTTTCAGAACGCTGCAAATGTAAGCCTATTAGAGCTACACAGAAGACCTATTTCCGGAACAATTACAACTATGGTAAGGATATCGTCATGGCAAGCCTAGCATCTGCTGTGTTAAGAAGGGTGTGTATGTTTGTGTGTATGTATAGATGAGTAGAGCAGTTTAAGAACACGGCTTAAAAACAAACCCACACAACTTTTAAGAGCATCATCCCCCATTCCCAAATAACTAAAATGTTTCATATGGACAAAAGTCTTAACAAATGTCTGATTTCAAAGCTTATTAAACCAGTTGCCATCAAGTCTGTTCTGACTTATGACGCTCTCATGTCTATCAAAATAGAACCGTGCTCCATAGGTTTTTTTTTTTTTTAAATGAACACTTTTTTTTGGTCAGTATATTTAACATTGACATAGTCTAACATCTAATGTGGGATCCATGTTAAAATTTTAAAAATTATTGTCATGTCCTTCATAGCCAGTCCTCTTTCCCAAAATCCTGTGTTACACTTGGTTATCATGTCTCTCTAATTGTTAACCTAGAACAGACCTTTAGCCTTTGTCTTTCATGACCTTGTCATTTTTGAAGAAGACAGGCCAGTTTTATAAACTGTGTTTTGATTTGAGTTTGTCTATGTCCTTTTTAGACTGATTTTGGTTTAGACTAAAGTCACACCATTTTTGGTGAGGATGCTTGTGGTTGGTAATGTTGTCTTGGAGCACTTGGTTAAGGGTCACTTGGGTCTACCCATTTTCTTCTCTATAAAGCTTCATTTTCCCTGTAAAGGGTGTAACTGACCTGAGGACTTGGGACCACAGTCTCAGAGAACATCTAGATCAATTGGCGTAACATAGTCTACAAAGACAATGTTCTACATCTTACTTGCGTGAGTAGCGACTGGGCTTATGAGCAGCCATCTAAGATGCAGCTCCTCGTCTAGAGCAAAGAAGAGTGAAAACACTCAAAGATCCAAGGAAACAACTAGTTCAAAGGACTGATTGGCCATGAGAACCATAGCCTCCACTATCCTGAGACCAGAAGAACTAGGTGGTGCTCAGCTACCACTACCAACTGTTCTGATCAGGATCACAATAGAAGGTCCCGGACAGGGACGGAGAAAAGAATGTAGAACAAAATTCAAATTCATGAAAAAAACCAGACTTACTGGTCTGATAGACACTGATGTAATCCCTGAGACTGTGGCACTCAGACACCCTTCGAGTCTGTCACTGAACCCACCCCAGAGGATCAACTTTCAGCCAAACAACAGATAGGCCCATAAAGTGATTAATAACACCAATGAGTTACTTGAGTAACCTCAGTACCTCAGAACAATCGACCATCTGAGACCAAAAGGCTAGTACTTGCCCCAAAACAAAAGCTCAGAAGTCAGGAAGGGGCAGGAAAGAAGGATGAATGGAAATGGGGAACCAGGGATCAAGTGGAAAGAGTGCTGGTACACTGAGGGGATTGCAACCAATGTCATGAAACAAAATATGTACAAATTTGGATGGAAAACGAATTTCCTCTGTAAACTTTAACTCAGGGTACAATTAATAATTGCAATAGTGGCTTCTTCAGAGATGCGGGGAAAGGAGCTCACAGGGTTTTCAGTGGGTGATTTTTGGAAGTAGATTACCAGGTCTTTGAGGTGTCTCTGGGTCAATTTGCACCTCACACATTTTGAGTGAGTTAACTGTTTGCACCACCCAGAAAATTTAAAGTGTCTTACCAAAACCAAACCCACTGTCATGGAATCCATTCAGACTGATGACACCCGCCCCCCATTGGGTTTCCAAGGCTGTAAATCTTAGCAGAAGTAGATTTCCTTACCTTTCTGCTACGGAGCAATTGGTGGGTTTGAACCACTCACCTTCTGGTTAGCAGCCAAATGCCTTACCCACTGCACCACTGGAGCACCTTAATATCAATAGAATCATCCAATTAAGTACACAGAGATGAATTTCAAAAGAGGTGGGGCTCTATCTGGAGGCTGAAGAGAATCTGAGCTCAAGAGTTTGGTGTTTCAGGGTGTGGTTTAAGTTCAGCTACATTGAGGTGAACTGAAGAGCACTGTGATGCATAAAGAATGGTTAGATGAACAAAACTTTATTTCTTCTGTCAATATATCCCATGGAAAATATTGATGGAGTTAGAAAGTTGCTCGCATTCAGTTAAGGAAATATTTTATTAGCTAAGAGTAGAAATGCAACCTTCTGATAAACTAAATAATAATTGAATAGCTACCAATCCAAGTCTAGCTGCCAAACTCAACTATAGGAGGAAAAACCCCGCTGACTCTGTACCAAGCAATATGCTAGGTGGTTTCCATATGTGATCTTATGGAATATTCTCAACTGTCCCATGAAATGTATTATTATCTGGACCTTAACAATGATTATTGAGGAAAAGTTGTCCTTCCTTAATGTACTTTTGGTCATTGGTGGCTTCTGAGTCATAAATGTCAATTACTGTCATATTTAGAAGGGTCAATTACTACAGTTTCTAATTAATAAGTAAGGAAAAATCAATATTTCCTGTATTCCATAGGCATTTTATTGTGATTTTTTTCTGGTATCTGAGATTAATAAAGGTCATATTACTACTTGTGTAGAAGATTCTTAATGCTGAGCCAGTGAATAAACATGGAAGTTATATTTTAAAGTAAACTTTTTACTAATATGAATTTATTAAATTGATGTGCCTTCATTTAGAGAATGTTGGACATATAGAGATTTATTTCGACCTAGTAATCTGTTACTATGTATTAAAACATATAAAGTAGAAAATTCTCAATGTAATTAAATTTCTTTTAGAATGAATTTAAAAATGCACCAAGTTTTCCTTCAATGGAATAAATTTTTTTGTGTGTGCTTACTATTTATCTTAAAAGCAGTCTACTTTCTCTTAGCCAATGATGGATGGAGTTTCCAAGACTGAAAGGTTATGTTTACACAAGAATCCAAATATCTAGCTGCTTATCTGAGGAGCTATTCCTTCACAAGTTGATGTGAAAAGCTTCAAGGCTCTTAATTTTTAGGAATTTCATTTTCTAAGATTGAAAAATGCTATATGAAGTTTAAGTATAGTTATACTAGAAATAAAAGCACAAATGTGAAGAAAATTAAATCAGGGAAATATGGTTGAGTTGGTATTTATTGTATGTGTCTTTATGTATTATTAATGTTTATTTTATCCCAATTTCCTTAGTACTGCAATGGTTGGTGCTGATATTTATGGCAAAAGTTAAAAGACTGGTGCCTACAAGTCAAGTAAAGGGAAGATGTTAAAGTAGCTAAGTGAACATTATAAAATAATTTGGGGTACAGATCAAAGAAAAGGGAAAGGAGCAGATTATTTTTTCGTAGCCAAAGGATAACTGTTTCCTAGTTTAAGGATTTCAATTTGTCTGGGTCTTTCAGCTTGTTTGGGGAAGACAAGGCACTCAAATGACTCATTAGAAGAAGAAAATCTGAAAAGAAAATAAATTTTTACTTTCAAAATATGTTCATTTTTATATCTCATCATTTCTCTGCTCATGTCTATCAAGAAATTAAAGTAGGGAGGGGGCAGTAATTGATAATTCAGACATACACACACACACACACACACACACGGAAGCAAAAACAAACAACATTCATCTGCTTCATTCAGATCAATTCAGTCAGAAACTCTTGAGCTTTAGCAAAATTACTTGAATAATAAAATAGGTCTTGTAGAGAGGTATTTATTTTGGAGTGGTTACATGCGTTAAAAATTTCTAATGAAAATAGGAGGCACACTGGGTAAATAAATCATTAGTTTGAGAACATTACACAGTTCCCTAATCTCTAGTATTCCATGAATGCTATGAAGCTCATTCACTTAAGCCAGGACTCAAAAAAAAAAAAAAAAAAAGTGTGCTAGCTAGGGCTGTGAATTTATCATCTGATTCCCCCAAATAGTATTTCAAAAAGAGCCATCTTATTTTTTGATGAAAATACAGAATAGAATAAGAACACTAATAGAGCTGAACTACAAATATCACTAAACTGGATAGCTTGCTACAAGTTCTCAGGCTAATAAATTCTCTGAACCAAAAATAATGTTTGGTGCTGAATTTTTTTTTTTTTTAATTTATCATGGTTTGGATAAAATTTCCAGAGCAAATTAGTTTCTCATTCAACAATTTATACATATACTGTTTTCTGACATGAGTTGTAATCACCTCAATGTAACAGTGGTGTGAAAGTTTTTAGAATTGATTAGTAACTTAATCTCCCTCATTTGTTGGGATATTACTGAGTCAATTTCTGACGAATTTGGGGAATTGACAGGAGAATGTTTATTAACTGGCTGTATATTTTCGTTGATGACTTTTTCCTTTGTAGTCCCAAACCCCTAACATATGTGGAAAAGGACTCAGATGAAGTTGTTTGCAGATAAGTGCCTAAGAAACTTTCAAAAAGTGGATTCTTTTGGATAACCTTCATAGATATTGAACTAGAGCAGTAAGCATACCTCGGCAAAAGCAACTGCCTTCTCACTAATTGACAGTTTTACTTACTCCCCAAAAACAAACAAACAAACAATTCACTGCCATGGAGTCGATGCCACTCATAGTGAAGCCTCCTTGGATTTCTGAGGCGGTATCTCTATGGAAGTAGATTGCCCAGTCTTTTTGAAATCCTCCTTTCTTTAAATTAAAACAGACAAAAAACCTCCTTTACCTGAAGTAAGACTCTAAAAAGTTTGGCTCTTTCCAAAGGAAAGTACTTCACAAAAGACAGAACTGTATTGTTTAAATTCTGAGTCAAATACTTGGGCTTTGTAGCTGGATTGATTTCTTTTTTTAAGGTAGTTTGTCTTAGATCAAGAAGTTAGCCGAATCCTGTGAGATATGGGCCCCACGATCACCACTGAGAGAGGTTGATTAATGGGAATAGATATTTTAGAGCATAGTCAATAGTGGGTGTGTGGAAGGAGTGTTGGCATGTCTGACTTCAAAGGAGATGAAAGAAACAAAGTCTAGTGGTGACCATTTTTATTCAGAAATAAAACATGAAAAGTAATCTAAACTGAAACAGAGGAGCAATGTAGCTGATGTCTGAACAATGAGCAAAGATCAGGAATGTGAAAAGACCACAAAATCAATTTGAGAACACTATAAGACAGGACAACTTTATAACACTGATGAGTCCTTCCTGTCCCAACTCTTTAGAAAATATATTCATAGACCTGATAAAATCATGCTGGCAAGAAAACAAAGCATATTTGAGTACTAAGTCTTGACCTATGGTGAAGTTAACATAATTTAAATTCCTGGAGACAACAATTGGAATTGAAGGAAAATTATATCAGAATATTCACCTAACTTTTGATTATTTAAGTTTATTTCTCACAATGAGACACATGCCCACACATGCACATATACATACGAACATGCACCCCATTGGAAGGGAATGGAGCTGAGCATTAAGGGGGCAGGTATGTTATCTAGTCTAAGGCAAAAATATCTAGATGACTTTTCCCCTCCATTCACTGAACATCAAGAGAATAGCATTGGCAAGAAAGAAGCCTACTTGTCTTTCGTTTTCAGTGGGAGCACCCACCTATTGGGTATCATAGTAGCATATCAGCTTTATTGTCTTATTGAATATCGTATTAGCATATCACCTTTATTGTCTTTTATCTCAGTGATTCGGGCAAAAGTCAAAGAGGTAAAGACTAAGTGCCATGATGTGACTGCAGTAGTTGAAGTGAAGGAGATCTTGAAGGCTTCTCTGGTAAACATTCCAAAGGACACTGTGAACCTTTATACTAGCTCTGGCTGCCTGTGCCCTCCTCTTAATGTTAACGAGGAATATATCATCATGGGCTATGAAGATGAAGAACGCTCCAGGTAATTCACTCCTTGAGGAGTCAGAAAAACTTCTTTGCCTGTCCCACCCTGATTGCATTTCTCTCTAGGGATCTCATCCTTGAGATCTGTGTACCTTCTAGGGGATCATAGATGGGTTTTCACTGAGTCCCACAATTCTATAATATCGGATACAAAAGTGTATGTATGCATCTTCCCCCTCACCCTGGAGAGAGGATCCGTAAGTTGTATTTGATTCTTGAAATTGTCCTTTTACTCCTCAAATGTAAGAATTCCTGTTCTAAATCTTTGCTGTCCCAGTCTAGACTAGACAGATAAGTTTTGGCACTGATTTCTCATATTTATCATCGATATATTTTAATATCTTAAAAATGATTGCTTCTTTACAATATACAGATTACTTTTGGTGGAAGGTTCTATAGCTGAGAAATGGAAAGATCGACTTGGTAAAAAAGTGAAGGTAAGCCTATGTTTTTATCCCAAGAAAGACCCACACACAAGGTAGAAAACCAGCCATTTGTCATTTAAGCCAGATTGTTGTCCTCAACTATGTGGGAAATGCTAAAATGTGAGATAAACATATCTAAAACTCTAAGGACTGTTTGTCTTTTAAGGAACAAATTCCTCAGCATGTGTATCAGACACCTAACTGCAGTTGTTACAGGCTTGCTATGAGAAGTCTAGAAGTAGTCAGTCCAGTGCTGGTAAGGTGGCTCCGCGTTGCCTGTTGGGACTGCCGGCTCCTGCTAGCGTCCCACTCTGCTGTTCTTCAGGGTATTTCTCCCACGCTCACGCTCACCTGGAGGCCACAAGATGGCTGCTCATCTCCAGCAACATGTCTCCATTTCAGGTGGAAAGAAAAGGGAGGAAAAAAGGGTTCCTGGGAATCCCATTCAGTAACTTTTGCTTATATTTTGTTGGTCAGGACTGGATCTCATCTTTATCCCTAACTGCTAGAAAGGCTGGGAAATACAAGTTTTTAACTGGGCATGTTGCTTCCCTGAATAAAATTTTGTTTCTGTGAGCCAAAGAAAACAATCAGTTGCCTCGGTGTCTGTTCTGACTCCTATCGACCTCATACGTGTCAGAGCAGAACTGGGCTCCACAGGGTTTTCATTGGCTGATTTTTCAGAAGTGGGTTGCCAGGCCCTTTTTCCAAGTGCATTTGGGTGGACTTGAACTTCCAGCCTTTCCAGTTAGCAGCTGAGCATGTTAACGGTTTGTACCACTGAAGGACTCCGTGAGTCAAAGAAGGAGAGAGTAAGTCATGGGTGGGAAACTGCCAATGTCTGTCCTGTACATAGACATCAATTTCTATGTATAAAGTACAGCTGCATTTACCTGTATATAAGACATTGGACCAGATTGGACCTTTACAGCAGTAATGTAGCTTTATTTCTAAGCCAATGGTGCTTAGTTCTGGAGATGATACTTTAAAAAAAATCACGTGGTAGACTAGTATGTTGTTGTTATGTGCCATCGAGTCAGCCCCGACTCATAGCGACCCCTCCTTGGGTTTCTGCCCAACCTTCCTTCCGAGGATTGGCTGGTGGGTTTGAACCGCCAGCCTTCTGGTTAGCAGTCAAGTGCTTTAGCCACTATGCTACCAGAGCTCCTGGTAGACTAGTATAGAAGGTTTTATTTTTTCCTACTGCCTTAAGTAAATCTGTTTCAAAGAATGTGAGGGAGTCTATAGAGGGACAGAGAATCTGAAAGGATACATGTGAGGGGGAGTGGGATTTGTACCAAACATAATACATCCTCTTCCTTCTGTGAACTTGAAGGCTTGGGAAACATGAAACACCCCTGGGCAGTTGATCTTACACATCTGGCACTGGACACAACAGACACATATGGGTTGAAGTGACCTAAAGAAATGGAGAGGGAGTTATTTTTCATGGAGAAACCATCCTCCAGCAAGTGCTTAAACCCACACCCTGAGTATTTTTGTCAAAAGTGAGATGTATTTCAAGTTCACACTTCTGGGAGTTCTTTATTTGTATCTCTCTCCAATTAGTTTGGTGTTTGGTGAAGAAAAACATGGCGCCTTTTTAGTATGTTGGAATCTTTCACTGTCCTTTTGATTCAGTTTTCTGCCTGCTAATGTAGAACAGGAATTTGTCCTAAATCCCCGTACCAGTTGCAAGAGCTCTCAAGATCCCTGCTGCAAAGCATCTTGTGGCTCCTCTTTTGGTACCAAAACAATATTATCACCTAAAGACCCTAGGACACATGACTCATGTGTCCTGTTTCTTAGTGAGGGTAGCACATTTCCATTGCTTTCTACAAGGAATTTACAAAAGTTAACATTGTGAGATCATTGATTTTATGTCTGGGTTTAACCATGCTAAAGGGGCTGGCTTACTGCAGTCTGTGGCCTGGGATGGGGGTGGGGGGGCAGCTCCGGCTCCATACACCATGCAACAAAGGGAAGAAATGAACTAATAATGTAAACAGTTTTTATTTCATATCTAGATTTGTTGTTGTTAGGTGCCGTCGAGTTGGCTTCTATTCACAGCGACCCTCTGTACAACAGAACAAAACACTGCCTGGTCCTGTGCCAGCCTCACAATCCTTGCTATACCTGAGCCTGTCATTGCAGCCGCTGTGTCAATCTGTCTTGTTGAGGGCCTTCCCTTACATACTCAGGGCTAAAGGGCTTAGGTGTAATAGTCTCTTTTGGCTGTAAGATTGAGATCCGTTCCTGTAATGTTCCACTCAACTTGAGGATATAAGAAAGAGTTTTATGGAGACTATTAGTTTTTTTATTTTTTAAAGTAAGTATTGTCCTTTTTAAGGTGCTCTGGTGGTGTAGTGGTTAAGGCATTTGGATGCTAACCAAAAATTTACCTACCAGCCACTCCACAGACAAAAGATGAGGCAATCTGCTTCTGTAAAGATTTACAGCATTATAAACCCAATGGGGGTATGAGTCAGAATCAACTTGATGGCAGTAAGTCTGGTTTAGTTTTTTTTGTTGGGTGGGGTAGGTAGATTATTCAAGTAAAACTATTTGGGCTGCCATGGGGAGGTGATAATCACAACTGTGTAACCTTTTTCTATATGGAAAACAATAAATTTTTGAATTGCAGAGCAAAGTGTGCTAAATGAAGAAAGAATGGATACTTTCAGTAATAGAAAAATCCTCACAATAGCTAATATTTCTTATGTGCTAAGCACTTTATGGGAGCTCTGGTGGCACAGTGCCTAAGGCACTTGACTGCTAACCAGAAGGCTGGCAGTTCAAATGCACCAGCCACTCCTCTGAAGGAAGATTGGGCAATCTACTTCCATAGTGATTGTTGTTGTTGGTTGTTGTTATGTGCCATTGAGTCGGACCCAACTCATAGCGACCCCTCCTTGAGTTTCTGAAGTGGTATCACTAGGGAAGTAAATTGCCCAACCTTCCTTCTAAAGAGTGGCTGGTGGGTTTGAACCACCAGCCTTCTGGTTAGCAGTTAAGTGCCTTAGGCACTACCCTACCAGAGTAGTGATACTGCTTTGGAAACCCAAGGAGGGGGTCACTATGAGTCAGGTCTAACACAACGGCAGTGAGTTTGGCTTTTTTTTTGGAAGCACTTTATAAGGAGGTCTGGTGGTGCAGTGCCTAAGACATTTGACTGCTAACAAGAAGATTGGTGGTTCAAATCCACCAGCTGCTCTGAGGAAGAAAGATGGGGCAATCTACTTCTGTAAAAATTTACTACCTTGAAAATCCAATAAGAGTCACTTTGAGTTGGAATTGACTTGATGGTAGGTTTTTTTTTTTCTTTTTTAAAGCACTTCACACATTTTCATCAGCTAATCTTCAGAAAGTCTAATAAGGAGATTCTTTTATTAATTTCATTGTTACAAAGGATGGAAACGAGGACTTGTGAGTTCAAGAAACTCACAGTGACAGGTGAAGCTAGGATTTTAAACTCGGGCCATTTGATGTTCATTCCTGGCTATGTGAAGTGTGATTCTTGGACAAACAACATCAACATCACATGGGAGCTTGCTAGAAATGAAAATCTTGGGCCCCATCCCAAAACTATTGAATCAGAATTTGCATTTTAACAAAATCCTTAGGTGATTTCTGTGTCCAGTGGAGTTTGAGAAGTACTACTGTAGTCCTATGCTCTTACTCACTACCTATACTACCTGGCTGCTAACCAGAAGGCTGGCGGTTCAAACCCACCAGCCACTCCTTGGAAGGAAGGTTGGGCAATCTACTTCCATAGTGATACTCTTTCGGAAATCCAAGGAGGTGTTGCTATGAGTTGGGTCCGACTCAATAGCAAACAACAACAACAACAACAACAACAACACTACCCACAATATAATTTTCTTTTATTTTTTATATTGCCTGTAAACAGTATTAACATTATTAATATGAAATATTAGTAAATTAGATCATGGCTGTCAATCAATGGTAATGCCTTCTTTGTAAAGTTTGAATTGAGGACAGGACCTTGTCTGGTTTGTCTGTTGTATTTGGGAGATGTTACACAGAAATATTTTCAACAGACCCCCAATACCCTTAAAATCTCCATTTTTTATCAAACTGCTCAATTCACATGGGTTTTGAAAGACTATGTTCTTATCTTATGTGTCATGAAAGAGAAAGGTGAAGAACAGCCCTTCCTTTGAATTCTCTGAGTAAGTCTATTTGCTGAGCATTTTTTGAAGACTAGGGTCATGTAATCTCAAGGCAACCTCATAGATAGTAGTAGGTACTTGTATGCCCACTTATAGATGATGAAATTTTATGAAAGCATCACTGAACTGTATTATGGATGGGTTTGTGCTTTTTAATGTTAGAAAATTATGTTCACCTGATACAGATGTAATTGTTGCCTTAGGCTACGGGTTTTAATATTTGGAATAGTAGTAAAATGCTTTAGCAATCTGACTTTGCAGTCGTATTCAGTTATTACAATATATAGAAATGACGACCCTGGTGATATGTGCACGTGAACATTTTCTGTTTTAAATTTCACAGCGTTGGGATGTGAAGCTCCGTCATCTGGGACCAAGTAAAAGTGATTCTAGCCATAGTGATTCCACTCAGAGCCAGAAGTCTGGCAGGAACTCTAACCCACGGCAGGCACGCAACTAAATTCTGAAATGGAAATAAGTATGATCAGTGGACTTTCTATTAAGACTTGCATTGCTGGACTAGCAAAGGAAAATTGCACTATTGCACGTCGTATTCTATTGTTTACTACAAAAATCATGTGGTAACTTATTCTACTTCTATTTCCTCTTTTGTTTTCTGCTTTTCTCTCCCCAAGCCCTCTTTTTGTGTGGTCTGGCTACAGATCCTTACATAATTATGGATTTTCTATTTCACTAATCATGGGACAACTGCTCTTTTGCAATAATAGTAATAATAAATTAAACATCCTAATACCAGGGCCTCTTTGCTGCTGTTCCCTGATGTTAATTTCCTGTTCTGCACCCAGATTGGGAGGGCGGTATTGGATGCAGAGAGAGGTTTCTGGTAAGCACAGAACACTAGATACGCTGTAAAACACACTCTGCTGATCTGATTACAGCTTCATTTCCCTGTGCCTTTAGGCATTCTCCTCCTGCTTAGGATGTTTTAAATGTTTATAAAGGTACAATGGCAGTTTGCAATCAGATGCCACAGAGGCAGGGCAATCAAGCACCAGGAAGCATTTATGAAGAAATGACACACAAGATGATTTATTTGCAAGATTGGCAGGAAACAAAATAAACAGTGTTAGGACCTGGGGGACAAGCATTTTGCCTAATTGAGAAGCACAACTGACATCAGTAGCTGTTGGAACTTTAACGGTAGCTTTTTTTTTTTTTTTTGCCACATGTTTGCTTTGTTCATGAATATATTAACCAGCATTAGGGTAAGGAATTATAACTAGACATCTGCTATTATCAGCATAGCTGCTTTTGATTTGCTTCCCTTTAAACAAATTCATTGGTGGGAGTCTTTTTTTCTTTCCTTTTTTAAAATAAATCTGACTTGTGCATTGACCAGGAAAAGAAAGTCTGTATGCACGTGCAACATGGTGTCTCTTTTAAATGGTGTGTAGCTCTATAGGATGCTGTAGTTTGCAGGATGGTAAAATGTGCAAGTTGTTGTCATTTTTTTTCAACTTGTGTGTGCATATTTGTGTACATATATGTGCACTCACACCCAAGCTGGACTGAATTACCAGGCCCACATGCTGGTGCTGGCCTGCACTTTATCCTTTGGGTTTGTGCTGTTTAATTCTCAGTAAAATAAGTCTAATAAAAAGAATTGTGGTTGTCAGGAGAGAGGTTATTTTGAATTTTGAACCAAATGCACATTCTCATTACCCAAACTGCAGCATGATCCCCAGGGATCGTGGGGAACAAATGATGCTTTTACTTGCTTCCTCCAGCAGGATTCTTTAGATCCTGTGCCAATCATTTGAGGTTCTCATTCCCTTTGATTTACATGTGTGGTATCAGTAGAAACAAATTTCTAAGCTATGGTATGCTAAAAATAAAACAACTATGAAGCAAAATGGTGCTGTGTGTTTTCTTTTACAAGGACAATCATGCAAGGATGAAATTCATACCTGAACCTGTTTTCCTAAAATGGTAAATCATGATTCATTTAAATTCTCTTTGGGAATTAAGAGAATGCCCCATCTTCTGACTGGCCCTCAGATCTCAACAGTTTCCCCAATCCCAGAAGAAAGAAATCCCACCTTTGCCCACCGGAAAGTTTCATAGTCTTTCGGGTTACTGTATGTTTGCTTTCAGATAACTTTGCTGGCTGCCATTTAGGCATTGTTCTACATGGCTAGGGCAGGAGCATCTTTCTCTAGATGCTGCTGTCTTGGCCTTAAAAAGGTGAGTTTGGGTGTCACTGAGTAGTGATGAAGTGCCACACTGGACCCTCAGTCTCTCTTCTTGGTATTTTTTTAAAATAATTTGTTTTTGTTAAGAATATGCACAGCAAAATATACACCAATTCAACAGTTTGTACACATTACCATTTAGTGATATTGACTACATTGAGTTATGCAACCATTCTCACCCTCTCTTTCTGAGTTGTACCTCTCCCATTAACTCACTTCCCCCTGAAGTTTCTATGTGATCTTTCGAGGTGCTGTTGTCAATTTTGTCCCATTTATAGATAGATCTTAAAAAAGAGTGTAATCTGAAGGCACACATTCTGTACTAGCTAAGCTAAACTTGTTTGGTTTTAAGAAGACTTTAGGGGATATTTTTGCTTTAAGGCTTAAAGATGATCTCATAACAGTAGTTTCAGGGGTTCATCCCATCTCCATGGCTCCAGAAAGCCTGGATTCCATAAGAACTTTAAATTCTGTTCTGCATTTCTCCCTTTTTGATCAAGATTCTCCTAAAGAAACTTTGATCAAACCATTCAGTCAGACGCTGTGGTAGTTAAGGTTGTGTGTCAACTTGGCTGGGCTGTGGGTTTGAGTGGCTAGGCAGCTGGATATACTTATTCCCCATGATGAGATTGTAATCACCTCTATGATAGAACCTGCTGTGAAAGGCTAAGTAGTTGCCTTCAGGCTCTGGCTTGCTTCCTGTGTATAAAGAGAAGGTTTCAGAAAGGTCTGTAGCTTTTTGACACATCTGGATCCTGCATTTGGCTCAGTCTTCATCTTAGTGGCCCACCATGTTGTCTGCCGATCTTGGGATTGTCCCTGGACTTTAACCAGTAATCTGATGTGCTGCTTCCTGGAATTGTGTCATCCTACTTGATGACCTTGCCTTCATCAGCCTCAGCAACCAGCAGCTTCATGAGTAACGAGAAGCCTGCAGCTCCAGTGGGCCTGGAATAAGAGGCAGAGCTGAAGCTCAAGCCTTTACCCAGCTCCTTGAGTCAGAACTCTAAATTTGGATTTCTAGCCCCCTGAACTGTAAATAAATTCCTGTTTGTTAAAGCCATTCACTTGTGGTATGTCTGTTAGAGCAGCACTAGAGAACCGAGACAGGCACCATCCGTTCTTCTGGTCTCATGGCAAAGGAGACATTTGCACATTCCATTTCTTCCTCCTATTCCTGACTCCTTTCTCTGCTGCTCTAGGTGAATAGAGACCAGTCCTTGTGCCTTGAATGCTTTCTTACAAGCTTTTAAGACCCCATGTCCTGTGCAGTGAACTATAAGGTAGAGCAGAAGCACTAAAAATGTTATTGACTATGACGTCCTATAAAGGCATGACCCTCAACTGTGGTATTAATGCCTCAACTAAGTTTCAAGGACTGAGAACTGAGACGTAATGCTTTTCTGCATGGTCCTGTTTTTTTCCGTCTTAACTATGAGAATAATAGCAAGAATTGACTGCATGAGATTCAAAGGAACTGGTATCTCAAATCTATAAAATGTCATTGACTCTTTCAAAGCATACCCATTGCAGTTGAGTCAATTCTCACTCACAGCAACACTGCAGGACAGAGTAGAATTACCCCATAGGGTTTCCAAAGCTGTAATCTATGGAAGCAGACTGCTTCATTTTTCTCCCATGGTGTGAGAGAAATTTTTAGTGATGAAATGTTTTGATGGACAATGGAAGCCACAGATCGTTCTAGCTCCTAAGTTTGTTTTATAATTAATTTTTTTTTTTGTATATTTAGTTTCTATGTAGATATCTGACACAATGTATGCTTGATAATTATAAAATTACAAATAATATTTACTAGCAAAGGAGGACCAGATTTTTAGATTCAGCAGTGTTTTTACCACTTCCTGTTTGAATGATCTAAGCTGACAATGTTTGGGTTCGCTCATCACTATTAGGCATCTGTCAGATGTTCAAAATTTTCTAATGATAAATCATGAGTAAAGAACATTTGGTATCGAGTTTGATAGTTGTAATATCTTGCATTAATAAATTATGTGTTGGTCTCTTTTGGGGGATGACATGATTTTAGGATGACGGTCACATTTCTAATCAAATGGCAAAACCATTTTTCCTCTACAGTTGCCATAACACAAACACAGGTCATTACTGGCTCTCGGCAAGTTTTACTGGCAGGTACTAATTTTCAAAGCAATCAAAATTGTACTATACATATCCTTGTTAGTAACGTTGAGACGTAAAAAATTAATTTAAAAAATTTTTGAAACATGATATTTACCTTCAGGGTTTTAATTTTCTTATCTAAAAAGAAAGAAAAGTGCCAGATGTGTGCTGAATATTCTGGCAAAAATTAAAATAACAGCAAACTTGGACTTTCTTATTCATGGATACGTGAGTATTTCACTGTGTCACACAGAGAGTGTAATCTGATTCGGTGCCATATGTTGCACTGTTTGTGCATGTGGTGGGACAAACCCATGTCTGTCCACATCTGTTATATATTACTAAGAAGGCAAACACAAAAGTTACAATCACTGTGAGTAAATAGCACTACTTATTGCCTTCTGTAAGACATTATTGCCATTACATTTCATCAAGTTAAATGTATGAAAAATACATATTTTAAGACTGATGTTGACTTAGCAGTATACATTTTAATATATTTTTAATACATGAGTGCTCGAGAAGATGGTAAAAATGAGGTGAAGTGGAGATTTCTAATACTCTAGAATTGAAATGAAGCTTTTAATATTTAAAAATAGGTTCCCAGCTGTATTAACAAAAACTATATACAGTCAGGCGTTTGGGTAATCTATTGCATAACAGTGGCTAGTGCTCTATACAAATCATTTGGATGTATATCACTTCATTTAATCCTGGCAAGTCTGTGAAGTGAATAAATGGAGGATTTAGAGCTTCAGAGTTATATAAGTAGCAAAGCTGGGCCTTGTATCTTTTTATTCTTTCATCTCAAGTTCTGGGAACTCTGGTGGCATAGTGGTTAAAGTGTTCTGCTGCTAACTGAAAAGGTCAATGGTTTGAGCCAACCAGCTGCTCTGGGAGAGGAAAATGTAGCAGTCTGTTTCCATAAAGATTTCCAGCCCTAGAAACCCTATGGTGCAGTTCTATTCTGTCCTAAAGGATCACTATGAGTTGGAACTGACCTGATGATAGTGAGTTTGGTTTGGGTTTTATATGTTTTCCACTAACGCAACTGCCAAGAAAAAGGCAAAAACATTCTGACCTTGTAAAAAAGCATAGTATAAGACATAGTGGCTACTGATACTTTTTGCTTAAACTGAGGGCTACTGACTGGATGTCATTAAGTCTATATAACTTAATTCCAAATCTGACTCAAAATATTAACACATCAACTCTTCAATTGTCCTTGTCTATCAAGTCAAAATTTCAAAGGACTGGTTTTTGTGTGGGACAGACACGTAACTGAACAATAAACAACTCTTATGGCATAGTGAACCGAAATTGCTGAAAACCACATAGTTTTCAGGAGAATAACAATGGTAATTTCTCTCTAAGCTTGTTTTCTCTTGAATTTGGATGAAAGTATTTAATAGTATTCAAGAAGGCCAGGAGGAAAGTTGAAATTAAAAGTTGATAGTTATTACAAGTAAAATCAGAAGGATGACAATCAATTGGCAACTCTTACTGCTTGTTCTTAGATCGTTCCTCTTATCCCTCCCATCACCAGGATCCTCCAGAATTTGAAAAGAAAACTATTCTATATTACCTAATTCCCCCTTCTTTTCTTTTCTTAATTATTTTTCTTATGTCAGGGATTTAACATGTTGTTGAATGACCACTAAAGCTATTGTTCTTTGAGTAAAATATACACATTCTCCATGTTTCTATTTTGAGTGGTGTGTTTTGAGAACTCAAGGAACAGTTCTATGAGGAAGGAAAAAGTGTACTCAGGGAAGTTTGTTGATCCAAAAAGTAATAACTTATGGACTGGTAAGGAGGCTAACAAAGAAATGAAAGAAAATACAGTAAGCATAGGGATGTGGCCACTTTTCCGAACAGCTATCCACCCATCCACTTAATGTTGTGAAATGGAATTGATGTTAAGATTATAGGGTTGGAACTTGAGAAAGTTTGGGATATT